GTTGCACGTACGTTCCCAGTCGCGGCCGCGGCGCACACGGCCACTGGCAGCAAGCATGCATGTGGTACGGTACACACCAAAAGAAAATTTTGAAAAACAACCGACGACTTTGGAGAGCGAAAACGATGTCAGTCATTTGTTGTGTGTGGGCGCTAAATTTTGGCCGCTTGATTGGTTTTCATTTTGAGGGCAATGTATACGACCTTCGATAACGATATGGGCAACCATCAAAATAGACCATGTCATTATTTTGTATTTTTTTCAGTGGCCTTTTTTTTTTTTATTTTTTTTTTTGGTTTTTTTTTTTTTAAAAAATTTTTTTTTTTTTCCCTCGGGGGCCCCCCCCCCCCCCCCCCCCCCCCCCCCCCTTTCCCTTCCTTTTTTTTTTTTTTTTTTTTTTTTTTTTTTTTTTTTTTTTTTCCAACCCCCCCCAGGGGCCAAGGGCGCCCCCCCCCCCCCCCCCCCAGCCCGCGACAGAACATACCAGTAAATATACCTTCTGACACGACAAGATGCGTTGAAATTTCTCGATTTTGACATAAACAAATAATTTTATCCAATTTATGAATCAAAATCAAAGATTGGCTAGTTTTCAGTTTTTATTGGTTTATGGTTTATGGCTTATGGTTTACATAATAGGGTTAAAACAAAACGAACCGATCTGGCAACTCTTTTACAGTGTGTACAAATTTTAGTACATGATTTCGGTTTATTTTTGAATCTGCAAACTCCGCCATTTAGAAGCGAACTTCTAAAACAAACTCTTTTGAGGATTAAATAAGAGTTTCTTTACAGTATTAAATTCTGTTAACAATAAGATACTAGATACACTGATAGAAAAAAGGCATAGTAAAAATAACTACAATCATATTTGAATTTAAAATGCGATTTTTAAATACAAACATAGTAAAATTAAATGGCTTTTTTAATACGGTCATATTTAATCTTAATACAATACAATACAATACACTTTAAAATAAATATAATATATTAAATTTGTAGTTTAATAGGTTCCATATTTAAATTGAATATTATTATGACTTGATTTCAAAATTTTTGTTTTAAAATCAAATGGAAAACTTTTTATTTTAAATATTCCATATTAAATGAAATAAATTATTTTTTGTATTTATTTTAAATATGTTTATATTATTTTTTTTATGTCCCTCGAATTCCCAACTGGTTCACGCTGCTGCAGCCTTGAATACACAGTTTAAATTATCTTTGCACAGGGCCATAATCACAAAAAATGCAGTTCTACTCATGTTGCGATTATTTCCAGTTGCAAACTTTAACTTGGTGAATTTCACTAACTAACTAGGCAAAATAATAATCGATTAGTTTAAAAATGAAATATACTCAATATAAATATGAAACATATTCAATTTAGGCATAAAATATTTTTAAATTAAATGTGAAACATACTAGATTTAAATATTAAACATATTAAATTTAAATATGAAAAATATTAAATTTAAATATGAAATATATATTCAACTTAATATATCAACTAAATATTATTAAATTTAAATATTTTCATTTTAATATCAAAGTTAGAGTGAAAAATATTCAATTTTAATACAACCACTCTTGGATGAAAATCAATGGCATAAATATTAAAATCTAAGTGAAAATATTAAAATATCAAGGCTTTTTTTATCGGTGTACAGATGCAGTTTTTTCTAATCCTTAGTATATCTTCAAGGATCATTATCACTGCTCAAATTGGTATACTTCTTTCACCAGTTTATTCATAACTCCATCGGAAACATTAGGACTTCCTGACAGGGTATATATTCATGCAAATTTTCATCATCATTTTCAACAATTAATGTTTATAACTTTATGATTGGAAATTTAAGAATTGCCAATCTTTTGGTGACAGAATTCGCAAAGTGTTATTTCACTATAAAAGCAATCGAAATTAATTAAGGAATTCGCAACAATATTCGTAATACTCAATCGCATTGCCCACTTCACATTGAGTGGCTGTGGCGGCTCCCCTCTCCATCTGTGATATTTCGCAAGTTTGAAGAGTGCTGCAGATACAATTGCCGATGTTTGTCTTGGGGCATTAAGGAAGTGCAGCACCATGCAGCTCCATTACAAGTGTGGGGCAAAAGTGGCCCGCAACTTCTGTTAGTGCTGATTAAATGCCTCATAAGTTGGTCGGCACAGACAATCCAGTCAGTCAATCAGTCAGTGGGTCAGACGGTGGTACAAAGACTGGCAATTGTCTTATCAGCATGGAGTCCAAGTGCACCGCTCACTTGTTAAAAACAAACGATTTTCCATGTTCCACGGTACCCCCCTGAGATACCAAAGTCGAGTTTCGCACTGGAAATAGAGTTTCGAACACAGAATTACCTCATTGTTGACTCAGTTGTCGATTTCGAGCGATATTTGCCAGAAAATTTCTAGCTAAATATCATAAATACATATATAGGATGACAGGATGACAATGATAGACAGTATGACTCTGTTACCGTTCTGTCAGTATGATTCAAAACTTGAGAAACTTCTGGAGGGGACGGGCGATATATTCCCCTTAACCTTGCGACTGCTGCCCCAAATGTCATTGACCATTTCCCCATCCGCTCTCAGGCTCCCAAAAGACCAATAAGGCTGTACGTAAACATTCTGCTATATCAACAAATGTTGACTAATAAATATTAGCCAGCGGACCAAATTCAAGAGCTCTGAGCTCAGTCAACATCTGATAGAGGTTTGGTTTTTGTGGTCACCTCCTCTCCTTTTGCATTGTTATCTGACTCATTTGCACTGTCATCTCAAAAGCGTTGTATTAGCATGATTAAATATTATCCAAACAATTATTACTCATTTGCCTATGCAAATGAGGGGTAATCTGTATAAGATCTCGATCTATCTGCATTACATGTTGAGTATACGCCGCACTGACCTTTCTGCTGATGGAAATCTAAGCAGAGACCAAAAAATTGTCTAGGTCAAGACCCCAGCTGCAGTGACAACCGAAATAGACACAACACACAGAAAAAGAGACCCACAAAAATGTATATCAATTACAGCCCAAAAGGAAAAGGAACGGAACAACAATGACAACGACAGAAACACACATAAAAACCGATACCATAAAACTATGCGCAGTCATTGTGGCGCCTCCAACCTAATGGGAAAACATACAGCATATACTTGTACTCGTAGCGTCTGCCAAGCAGCGCCGAAAAGAGCGTGGCGGGCACAAACAACCCCTTGGGGTCGCCACCGCCGCCGCCGCGGCAGGATTACAAGTATAGCCACGGTGGCACATTCAACTCGACTCTCCACGAGAATTGCGTCACTGGCCAAATAGCCTGGGAATTAAATCAATAGGGACAACTCCCACACACACACACGGAGCGAGTGCTTAAGTGGAGCAAGTGGAGCAAGTGGCTCAGTGGCTCTCTGGCTGGAACTCGAGGAATTTGCATTTTTCGTGGCCAATACACAAAGCATTGGCCAGTATTTGGGTCGGCGTCGTCAAAAGGATTGCAAGGACATTTAAAAGGCGAGCGAAATGCGTTATCCGCGAGCATAACTCAGCGAACTTGTCCATTTCCTTTTCCATTTCTCGCTCTCTGGCTTTCCATTTCATAATTTGTATTAATTAATTGGCATAGTTTCGTTTGGCCGTCGCCACATGAATTATGGAGCGGTTTTCGGGCACCACCTTCAAGAACAAAACAGCCTTCAGTCAGAATTAAGGGCAGGAAATGAACCCGTTTGCGTTTTTCCTCTTCTTTATTGGTTTTTCGAGTAGCTTTGAATTATTTATTAGCCAGTTGAGGGCAGAGTGCAGTCACGTTATTGATGAACCGCTAAAGTGGTTGGGAAAGTATCCTTGATATGGCTAGGATATGTACGGAGAGAATGGAACACGAAGAGCGATATCAATTGTTGAAGAAACATTTGAAATTGATATTTAACTCAAGTTCTGTTTCCCCTAATTTCTCTATCTTTAATTGCAAATGTTTGCTCATCTTTTGGTCATTTCCGAAATTAAAAATTCACATTTCGTTTTTGAGTCATGGCTTAGAGGGTTTAGAGTCTTGCAAAAGTTAATTATTATTCTGTGCCTGTGTCACCAGTGGCCGAATATTAAACGGAAACACATGTACAGATGATTTGCGTACAATATTCGATTGTCCCAAGTGACTCAGCGCCATATGACACCATCAGAGCGAAGATTTGAATGAAAGAAGATTTGTGCAGGCTAGAAAGTTGAATGATATTCTGTTTGGCTCTGATTCAGATGGCTGAGCTGTTGAATGGTAGATCCAAAAATCCACAAGCTTGTTTGGAATCTAAATACATTTTTCAAAGAGCTATTGTTCCTTTAAGATTTGTAAATCTCATTAAAAATTATCAATTACTTGAAACATTTTATCGAACTGAAGACCAAAAGTTTTATATTTTATATACGAGTAGTTTCACATAAATAAATACATATAAGATGGAATCAATGGCAGATGTATGAATTGTCTCCGAGAGTTATAAATCCCTTCAAAAAATTGCACCAGGAATAATTCAGATAATTTTAATTTTTAAAAGATTATCGTAACTACAAGATATTTCCCCTCTCTATATGATCTTGAGATCTTAAGATCATGGATTATCCCCTAACTTAGCTAAAAGCTTCCTTTGAAGGCCCAATCAACTTTTTCTTCCTTTAGCCTATGAAAAAGTTTGCCTTTTATCATTGCAGTTGGAGCATGCTGCAACCAACTGATAACAAGCCTATCCACGGACAACCCCAACGTTGCCAGCAACATGTTCGATGTTCGAAAGCTCCCCAAACAGCTGTTTCCTCTTCGCTTCTGCCTGCGCGCGGCCCATGGAAATTGGCTACCTACCTCCGCTGTGCACAGCCGGCTTTCATACGCCTCGTATGCCCGAACCGAACCGAGCCGAACCCCCCAAATGCTCACACACGAGTTCGCTCTGGTGCACGTTCGCTCATGTCTGTTTCATGTTCAATATTGAAAAGCAGGCAGTCTGCTGCGGCTATTAAAACGCGAAGGTTCTTGTCGGTCGGTTGTTCGTGCGTTTTGGTGGTTGAATCGAAGTTCAAGTCGTTTGCGTAAAGGTACAACCAACGAAATATTCCGTTTTTGGCCAACAGCGATTGTTCTAACGTTTATTTGATTAGGTACGGTACGCAAGTCTCTTTCGTCAGTTGTTATCTCTGGTGCGTAAGTGTGTGTGTGTGCGTGCTCTTTATTTCTTCATATTATTTTGTTTTTAATGAGTGGGCGATATATGTATTATTTGTGTTGTGGGCGTTTTGTTTGCCATTTGGGCAACAGAATCCAACTGAATGCTGGCTGAAAACTAGTTAGCCATGCGTGCTGGCCGATTCTGACCTGTTCCCCACCATTCAATTCTATTCGAACAATAGAACGGATGGCAAAAAATTACAATATTAAACAGATTTTTCAACAAATATGCAGGACTGACATTGCCCCTGACGGCCCAGACATTAATAGGCGACAGCATTTATTCTACATACGTACGTATGTATGTAATTTTTGTGTGTGTTTTCCATCGATTTGCATTCATTTCCCCCTTCGCTCTAATCAAAACCGAGACTCAAACACGCACGCACACGCACACGCACAGACATGCTATCAGCCACAATTACAGTGAACAGTGTAACGGGTGTTGTAAAGTTTCGTACAACCAAATCGAACAAAATTTAATTACAATCTTCTCTTGTTTCAAAAACAGCTTGAAAATCGTTCAGCAGCAGAAAGAAAAACCAATCTAAAAACTAATTTGAGTGCAATACAAGTGGAACAACAAATAATTTAAATACGTTTCATTTTTTCCAAAAAGGTGAGTTTGCCAATATCAATCAGTGGGGGCAGGGGCGTGTGATTGAAATCGATTTGAATGTTTAAATTCGTGTGTGATGCATCCTCCCAGGAAATTATTGATTTTACCGGAAATGTCCTTCGCCGAATGCACTGCAGAGCCGAAACCAGACCCAGACCCGGCTTCGCTTTGCAGCAGCAGCTGAAAAGCCCAAGGACACTGGCGCTCTGATGGTGCAGTGCCTGAACTTTTCACCTACGACTGAACGCCTCCACCACCCCCCACTCCCCACTCCGAACAGCTGTTTTCAGATGTTTTCCCGATTGGGCGGCAACATTTTTTGGTTGCAGCAACTTTTATTTTCAATTTCAATGCAACATCGAACAAGTGGCTGCCGGCAGTGGCCGGGGCGCCCTGACTGTGTGGTGTGCGGTGGCACGTGGGTTGAATGGTGTCTGGTTTGTGGCATGTGTGGGTGTCGGGACCGAGACCTGCACCACCTCCAAGTACGAGTAGAATGCACTTCTGGCTCGCTTGGGGCGAACCACTTGTTTGTTGGGGCATGTAATGGGTTGTAGGCATTGCCTCACATTCAAGTGGGTCGCTGCCACATGCCCCGGCCTAAGCTCCTGGAAATATGCCACAATATTCTCTATTTATGCGCCACCCACTCGCTTGTTTCGCATTTATCCCAATTAATTAACTTTCAATGCTGTCCATTCAGGCGGCAATCAAGTACAGTGATCCATCGCATTTCTAATGTATCCGACCGTTCTGACAGCTCTGGTTCCCCTTGGTGAGTGCTCACTGTATTGCCCTGGGGTTACACTCGTTTTAATTTAACACTAGAACGATTTTTGCCCGTTTCCCGCTTATCAGATATCTGCCAGCATAGGCATAGGCATATGCCACACTGTCATTAGATAGAATCCCCCGATAAGAGGCAACTGTGTGGGGGACTACGCCAAAAATAATGTAAGCAGAGAGGCTACAAGTTTCCGGTTCATTGTAATGGTGGGGGAAGAGACGGCGGCGACCTCCTGCCTCCCTCTTATCTTTATATTTGATTTTCCATGAGCTCATCGCCGGCTGCAATTTTGTTTTCTGTTTTGCACTCAGGTAAACGCAAACGAAAGATCATATTTCCCCTTTTTGGGTTGTGCTTTGGGATAATGTGTGCAATCGCCCTCTGGCGATCCACCCCTCTGTAGTTTCCCCCTGTTGTGGCATCGATTTCACATTAAATTGACTGCTCTCTGGTCGGTCCCCTTATTGGCGCGTGTTTTCAATTTATTTTTAGTTGAATTGCCCGTGGATTGTGTGTCTTTTATTTGTTCAAATGAAATTTCCATTATAATTTTGAAACCCTTTCTCGATTGTTATCGTGTGATTTAGTTTTCTTTGCGCTCTTCTATGGCTGCACTTTGAGCCGAAACCAAAGTGTGGAAATTTGCATAATTGCTTTCTCTCTCTCTCTCTCTGGTAGTGGGGGCCAGCCCATATTTTTAACATAAATCCCCCCATGGAGTGCCAGTTGATTGCAACGTTTTGTGGTTTCCTTTAGGGGCGGAGGGATTCCGTTCCCCTAGCGGTTGGATTCGGTTTACGGTTTACCTTTTTGTGGTTTCGCTCTCGTTTGTTGGCACCTTGTAAGGGTTTAAGCGGTGAAAAGGGGAAGCATATGAAAGTCTATGCGAGTATCCTTTTACAAAGGGAATAACCATATACCTGGCATAGTTATTATAGAGATATGGTGAGACCACGCTATTCATTATCTGATCTTTTTGTTTCCATGCCAGACTTAATGTCTGGTTTTTTTCACAATTAATGATTAATGTTTATTTTGTTGCTCCCTTTTTTTTTCTAGTTTTAGGCGTTTTGATAAGCACAAAATTATAATTGGTAACTAAAGCAGCAGCAATTTTAATGCTATTTCGACTAGAAACTAAAGCATGGAAAAGGAGACGTAGCAACAAAAAGAAAGGCACAAAATTAAAGAAGTATAGCAGAACTATTTCAAGTGCAAACTAAAAACATTCCCCATTCCGCAGCCGCTCACCTCATTCAGTGCTCTCGACGTTTGTCTGTCTATTTCTCTCTCTCTCGTTTTCTGAATGTGTGTTTGTCCACTGTGTGGTGAAATTTCTATCTTTCTTCCACTTTTAATCTACAAATTTTTAGATGTGTGCAATATCTACAAAAAAAGCAACAAAAGAAAAAACGCATAACATTTTTGAGTTTTTGTTTGCCACCTTCAAGGTCACATCAGCAGCACATCAGCATCGTAAAAATTGTTGTCGTCGGTTTCAAGAACAAAAAAACATTTGTTTGCCATTAAGCTAAAAGTAAATATTAGCAGACATATAGACGTTCGTACTATACAGACAACGTTCTATATATATATAAACATGCGAGAAATTGCAGTGCGACCAGGCAGCTAATTCTACAGTGAAAGTTCTCTAAAACGGAAACGTACAGTGAAAGATCTTTAGAAGAAAATTTCGAACCAAGGTCCCAAGGGATATACTTTACATAAATTTAACTTAAATTAAAATGTTTTAAATATTTGCATAGGTACGAGTATAATCGATCTACAATATGGTACTGTATAGTAGCTACTTGCAAGCTCATTATTACTTAATAGTTAGTTTATAGTCTTATAAACGATATCTAATATTACGCCCCTCAAGCGATTTTTCCCTGTTTGAATACTAAACTTTCGATGTTGGTTGACCAAAGGTGGACGACAAATTCATTCATGCATCATCACATGATTGATAAGCCACCCGGCCGGCCTCCCCAGCCTGATAAACTTTCTGTTAAATTCGTTCCGACTTGTGCTCGGAGCATTATGAATATTAATGTTTCGGTGACGTCAGCGATGCATTTGACAGATGACAAAGCATAAGGCACTAGACAAATCAAATGCAAATGCAAAGGCAGCAGTCGAGTGCAGTGGAGCTGAATGAAGATGAATGAATGGAAGTTCAAATTGTTACATTTTGCTTTGATACACTTTTCAGAGGGTACTTTAAGTTTTCATTGAAAGATGTATACGACAAGGAAGAAAGTGTATTTGAAGCAAATCTTTATAAGCAGATCCCTATGTCAAAAGCTTTCCAATTATGATTTTAGCAACAAACATTCGTTGGAATGTAACAAAATTGTATTCAATGAAGGTCTAAAATATTATCTATCTACCAATATAATGCTCTGTTTGTAAGGGTATCAAAAGTTTGCGACTTCAAAGCCATTCCTCTTTGCTGCTTTCCCCATATTCTTTTCATATTTTCCATTGCATTCTTCCGAAAAGCTGTCAACTCGCGCTGTCAGAGCCATTTGACATTTCCATTTAACTTAGTCAGCGCCACACACACCAAACACTCACACACACACTCGTACTCTTCCATATTAAAATATTAACAACCACCTGCAGCAGCACCCAGCGCGTAACTAATTTTCCCCAGAGTGATACGCGGAAGGGGTGGGGCAAATGAGTTTCCCTTTCGACACGGCTAACAAATGCCGCAAAGTGCATGCCCCGCTCGCAATCCACTGGGCTACGCTACGCTCTTTTTGTTAGTCCTATCGGACGAAACTCATCTGTTGGGCTGGCTGTCTCTCTGTCGGTCCGCCTGTTGGCCAAGGGGTCAAAAGCTCAGCAAATGACAAACATGCAACGGCGTTAAATTTTTATGCGTGTTGTGAAAATATGACAAGGAGTTGAAGCGTGGGTGGGGTACGGGAGCGGGGAACAATGTTGTGTTGCAGTTGTGGGTGTGTTAACCGTTTGCTGGTCACGCAATGCAAAGGAAAATGAAGAATTTTCCGCCACAGTCCAGTCCCGTTCCTGCGATAAGCCATAGATAGCAAACTGCTGCTCTTTTCGGCTGTTGGACGGCCCTTTTTAGCGGGGAGTTCTTTTGTATTTTATGGCATAATACCCGGCGAGAATGGAGAGAGTGAGAAACGGACCTATAGCAATGACATCAACTTTGCAGCACCCAAGGCCTTATCTCTGCCGGCATCGCAATTTATTAGATTGTGTGCTCTTAAGTTTATCACCTAAATTAAATATTTCCCTGTAAAAGATATCATGTGTAATTGTTTAAGTGGAGAGATTTCTGAGTGCGAGATAGTTAAATCAAAAGAATGCGGATGAGGAGTATAAACAGTAGGCATGAATCATATACATACATATGTACATATGTGGAGTATGTCAATAATAATATCTTTATATCGATTGCAACTCATTCCCCAAGTTAGAGACCTTTGGGGCCGAAAGCCACATTAACCTTGAAATGATACCGTGTATCTATCTGGCCTACCAACCGACTTACGTCACTTGTCCACGAATAAAAACAAACAAAAATATGTCCGGCTCTACCTCCACCTCCACTCCTTCTAACTCCCCCTCCACTCGCCACTCTCCAACGGACAAGTGACAACGATGAATGTCAGAGAGACAGACTTTATATGGCACAGCACAAACCCGCCCGTGCCTCCCATTGACACGAAATTGGAGCGCACGCTTCATTTACCCAACGGACGGTGTGTGTGGCGATAAAAAGGAAAATACAGCACAAATAAAATAAAATAAAGTCAAATAGATATGGCAACAAACTTGGATGATTTACTGCACCTTCGATAGTGGCAATGGCACGGCACGGCAGACAGACAGACAGACCTGTCGCTTGGCCAGTGGCCACTCATAAGATCACCTATAAAAATAGCAAACTAAAATAAACGATCAACTAAGGTCGAAAGAAAAGCGCGGAAAAATGCCGACAACAAGAACTACATACAAACAACCAATGGAATGAGGGAACAAATATTTCTGAACAAATAAACTCAAATTAAATTAGATTTGAATTCGAATTCGACAAGAATCAAGAATTTCAGCGCAACATTTGGCCAGGTCCATCGAAGGTAATTCACCAGCCACGAACTGGAATCCGAGTCCAGCTGCAATTGAGTGCGAAAGATTCTATGAATTTTATTTGTATACCGAGTATTTTTGGGTAGTTTTAACGATCAGGGCACTTGAACGAATGAAATTTGCAAATTTTTCTTTCAATTAAAATGCCATTTCACAGAGTATTTCTTATTATATGTATAACTGGAACGAGAGAGAGAGAGAAAGGCAGTCTGTTTGTGATACCCTGTGATACCCGGAGAGGAGGAAGCATAAATGATTTACTAATAAAATGAAGGATTAAGTGCACCTATGAGATACATAAGTTCAAAATGTGGAATATTTATCTAATGTTTAACTTACTTCAAAAGCTTTCTGATAGTATTTTATGGAACTTTTATAGAAATATTCGTATTTCTTAGCCAATATCCTGATGCTCGGGCAATATTTAAGGTGTTGAAAAACGAAATATGTTAATTACACTAACATTTCCATAGAAATAAAAACACTGGGAAAACCATTGATATATCCGTTTTCGATAAACAGCTTTTGTCGGCGAGTGCCGAAAGAACTTGCGAATTTTCCTCACGTATTTAATTATTAATTCTTCCAAATTGTGCCCAGAGCAAGGAAATGGATGAATTTTATGTTAATTTGTACCATATTGTGGGTGCTGTTGTATATTCCTGATGATGAGAGTGCGCTGAACTTGAGTCGTGACTCACACAGAGAGTTCTGTGATGTAATTGGCGCTTTTATGGTGATGGGGCTCGTAAAATTGATGTTGCTGTGAAGTAATATTTGCTATACGACACGTGCATTCGGCTCTGGCGCTTATTCTTATTAGCAATTCGGCGCCAAAATACTATTGGCGGTCTCAAGTTTATGCTTTTTCCCCAAAAGATGATTGATCTCTTTGGTGAAATATTTCTGCTGCTGTCACTGTGGGGGATGCTGACGCTGACCCAGTTTCTCGTTATTTACTTTCAATAATATATCTATGAATATATTCGCGCCTGACAAAAGAGAACCGAAAATAAGCCACAGATACTGTGAGGAATGGCTGTGAGTAAATTACTTATTTATATTATTCCACCACCCATACAGAAAAGTGACAACGATGACGTCGTCAGTTTCAGCACAGAATACGCAGAGTATCAAAAAAAACACAAACAGAAAAAAAACTGGTGCCATTAATTTGAACCTACTCGTATTCCCCCCTTTATTTAGCGCCCTGCCTCTGGCTCTGCCACTGCCACACATTCGATTGTATTGTTTGGCTGTGGGTCGGTCTCTCACTTAATTGGTTTTTGTGTGTGTTTCTGCCTGAAGCTGCTGAAGCCTAATGATCCGTCATTGGGTTGTACGTACGCAATCGCCGGCAAGTGCAGACAGTTCACGGTACGTACGTCTGTATCTCTATCTCTGAGGCATTGGTGGGCGTTTGTAACGCTCCGAAAATAATAATAGAGACAAAATGGTTATTACGAATGCCATAAAGATGGATAGATTATGAAGTGCTCATGGGAGAGACACTGACATGAGTAATAATTTGCAATGCTAATTTGCATTTTTGCCTGTCTTTGCCATGGAATACTTTTTGGTGGAACAGCTCTAAATTTATCACAAAATTAGGCAGAGTTTAAGGTTTTAGAGAAGCTTGGAGAGCTCCATTCTCAAATATTCTCATTCTCTTTAAAATTTATTGATTTTTACTAGCAGCACTAGAGCAAGATTTTTTTCTTTTTTAAAGTACGCAATTTCTGCAGAATTCATAGTTTCCGAATAAATTTTAATTCATTTTGAAATACTTCCAATTACAAGAATATTTCAAGCGTTTCTTTGGAACACCATCAGCACTTGTCCCTCAAATTTGTGCAGATTTATTCGTCAGAGTTTCACTTAATTCTTGTTGTCTGAATTATCACTTACTCCCGAGTTCTTAGAATAGAAAACTCAACCTTTTGTTGGGGGAAATTATAATAATTAAACAAGTAATTGTACCCAAATTGTGTGCAGATTTAACTGTCACTCCAACCTTGTTGAAGGGTCAGGTCAATGGTAAACATATAACCCCTCCAATGCCAGGCTCCAACCCGTTTCATTGTCACCAGATATATATAGAGAGAGAGAGGGGGAATAATAACTCAAGACAAGGGCACCGTCAGCCATGACAATTATATAATTACCGCTTTGTGTGTTGGCAATTAACTCGACACTCGTCGGTGGCAGTCCATCATCCATCCCTATCGCCAGAAAAAGTAGAGTCAGCAGCAGCAGCAGCACTTTATGGTTTTGATTGATGACACCCTCAAAGCCAAAGCGAATTGAGAACAATTGAAGATGCATCATCGTAAGTCCCTTTCGATGTTGGTTGTCCTTAACGTTCAATATTTACACTCGTTAAGCAATAAATGTATTGAATATCAATTGATCCAATTCATCGGATTGAAAGTAAGGGCCATCGAAGGCTGTTTTCACAGATTTAAACCAATAAAATTCGATTTTAAATGCCTAATGTACTGTCTAATTGTTACAACAAACCACAAAAGGGAAACCACCAACAGGGTTAACAGGGGAGGGAGGGATTCATAATGGTATGGGAATGGGGTGTTTGGGAAGTGCGGGTCATGTCGGGTTCAATGATTATTAATCAAATGCCAGTTTAATTATGCGACTTGTTAGAGACAGACATGCAGACAGACAGCCAGACGGACAGACACTATGTCTCATGTAATCACTCAGGGTACCGCTCCCCTTGCCGATCGGAGGTCTGCAGCTTCAATTAAAATTCGTTTCGCCGATCAAAATGGAAGCAACCACCAAAGTCCACCAAAAATTGAAAGCTTACGAGTTTCTCTCTCTCTCTCTTTTTACTTTTTGGCATAAGAATTGGGTGCGTTGGATGTGTATGTCGTTTCTCGGTCCCATTCTTGGGGCCTAATCGAATGTCAAGTATGAATCCATTGATGACAACGCAGACCATTCCGTTTTGATGGTGACAATTAAGGCGTCGCATCTCTCACTCTCTTTTGTATTTTTTATTACTTAATATTGTATCTGTTATTTGTTTTCCGGCTTTGGTTCTCCTGCAGTTCGTTGTGTGCTCTGTTCGTTAGCGGTTCTGCTCCGTGTCTCTTTGGGGCACTCTAATCCCAAACGAGTAAGCTTTTAAAGCACTCTGCTTGAAATACGATACGATCCATTGGCTTGGCTGGCCTCCGCTCTGTGGCTGTGCGTTTGACATTGAACTTGCGCGCTTAATCATTGTCAAAACATCGAGGAACCGAAGATTGCCAATGCAAACAAAAACCAATCCAAACAGGGGATGCATTCCGGGCTATCAATAAACAAATTTTGTTTTCTTTTTTTTCCAACTTTTTTTTGTGCCCTGATCGTGTTTGCATTTCAAATTAGCTTTCGATTTGCGGTCAGAAAAATATTGACAAAGTGACATCATGAGTAAAGCAACTCCAGAAATGGTACAATTTATTAGCCAAAAGCTTTATTTAACGATAAATAAAAGCAAAACTGTGGAACAGTGATCACGAGGCATGCAACAACAAAAGTAATTGAGCGAAAAGCAAAAGCGGAAATGAAGGAACTAAATGTTCCAAGACGTTCCAAAGATTTTGGTTCTCTTTTCTTTTCTATTCTTAGAGGAGAACAGAATGTGTGAAGAAGTTCTAGAGTATTTTTCCCTGGAAGCGGGTATCTGCTGGGAAATGCAAAAATTTAGCGAATGTCTAGGCAAATATTTCTCTGGGAGTGTCAGGGGTCAAACCATTCATTCGATGTGATTGGATACGATTTATTTGCTTTGACCCCACAGTCATGCTGCGGGGTCAGCATTTATCTATGAACAATTTGGTGGAAGAGCATTTATTTATGATCGGTTTTGATTTTTTTCCATCTGCTTGCAGGCCAAAGCACCGAAGAAGAACATCGACAGCCGCTACAAGTATTAGGAGGAGGCCAATCCCGAACCCCAAAGAGAAGACAAGCAAAAAGACAACATAAGCCACGGGGGAAAGCAGCCGACGAACGGGCCAAATGCAAATTCATAAGCAGAGGACCTGAACCTGAAGATACAACCTCCAGATAGAACACATTTCCGCACTGATACAGTGGGTCGGGAGAGAGACTGTGTTTGTTTATTGCATCGAGTCAGCGACTGGAACCTAGAGTTTGCCCCGCGCGAAGATCCATCCGCACGATGCCCGGCCACTTACACGCCATACATCTTTGAGACCCCAGTGGCGTACCCATGCCCCACACTCTGGCCTGCATACGTTGCACATACAATATTCCATCAGGCAGCAATATTTGGAGAGTGCCGTCGGTTGGTTGGGCAATCGCCAGATAAATTCTAATAAATAGCCAGACAACAGAATACTTGGCATAAAAATAAATAAGAATCGAAGAACGCGGAACGCGGAAAGCAGAACGCAGAACGAGCTACGGGATTCGAACGCATTGCAACAGATTCATCTGAGGTGTCGAGTGCATTGCCCAGGCCAGGCCAGGCAATACCCCTCTGGCAGCAGTTGGAGATCTTCGTGGCAGCATAGACGTAGGTCGCGGCCAAAGTGTTGCAAGGCAGGGGCAGAGCCAGAGGCAACGGCAACCGCAGCGAGGTGTACACATTTGGCACCATGGAGGGCGGTTACGTCAATGAAGGTGAGTTGCAATTACAACTAAATCTACATATGTATATGCCACAAGTGTACATATCTACAAGATATCGAACAAGTCCATCTACCGAATGAATGAATGCTTTTTCTTTGATGCCAATAATCCCAAAATCTATGGAATTTAGTTCACATTCTTGTTTTTGCTTTTGATATACACACTTCAAATGCATTTTTAAATTTTATATATGCAAAATATTCTTTAAGGAATAATCTCTTAATCTCTGCTTAAGACGAATTTCTTTTATTTTTAAATATAAGTGTAGGAAAATTTTATTTGAACTTTGAAAAATATTCTATAATTCTTGTTTATTAAGTTGGATTTCCTATTTGATATAGGAATAGTTTTCTTAGATTTTAGTTTTGTATTTTTGGCTTTTCTTGCTTTCTGCGAACTTGCCTTAGACCTTATTGTCCATGAAAGGGGTTTCCCCCTTTTTCTTTTTATAAAATATCAAAGTAATTCAATACACCTTGAATAATTTCTTTCAATTCATCAGCCAATTATTCATAGCCACCAAACAACGCATATAGACCCATTATATAGGATATAGATGCACTTGCATCATACAATATAATTTCTCATTCATTTTGTGGCTTTTTGCATGCTCACCTCAACCAAAAATAATTCTCACACAATGCGAAAATTCGAAAATTCATTCAACAAGACATTCGAACAGATGTTTGTATGTACAAAGTATTTGACTTTGAATTTCTAAATACACACACACATACACAGAATGTGTGGCATGATCTGTTGAGAAAAACCTGCACAGTGACACCGAAAATATCTGCGATTTATTAGCAATGCAAATGCAAACGAATTATTCAAACTGCCACTTCACCCATCCACCCATTAGTCAGACGCTATGAGGCAATGCATCCCCGATATAGTTTTGTTTTATTTGGCAAACATTTTTTTTTTGGTTAATAGAAATAGACAATTACGTGTACCTGTGTGTGAGTCACCAAAAATCACTAATTCCCATAAAAAAACACCCACTATTCTCCCAAAAATGCTCTCTCCAAAACACACACAGAGGATTCCGATGCCATAATGGGTGTGGAAAGTCCAGGTAAATGAAAACATCTCTCTTCTCTACTATGCATAATCGTTCTCATAACCAGCAACAAACTTGAATAAATATCTCAAGGAAATGCTAGGGGAAAGGGAAAGAGCCATCAACTTTGTGACACTCAATTAAAGGCCTGAGAGTAGGGGAAGAATATAATAGTGCATTTGAGCGTGTATCTTTATGACTGGTTTCTGCTATATACGCGATACAAGCCGGTTCTTTACTCGCCCACATTCAGACACAAGTGGTTCTCCCGCCCTTTTTCAGATTCAGCCCTCAGATCAATGACAGATCGGTCGCTGACTCTCGATATCTATGACGCCGCAGCACATGTTCTGCTTTGTTATTATTTACTTTTTGTCTTTTAATTTACATAAGAGGATTACCGATTGTAAATCACAAGCCATATATTCGATTCTGGGTATCGGTATGCAAAAATAAAACAGAAACAAATCGTAAAGTAGTCGATTCGCTGACAACTGTGTACCATAAAAGGCAAAACTGTCTGTCAGACGACTGCTGATGCTGCCACGACCTAATGGGGGGTTTTCAATTAATATTCATTTGGAGGAAGGCAACGCAAAAACTGTCATAAATTATCAGCTTGCAACAGTCAAACGGACGCGGACAGACAGGGTTCCTTGAGCGGCGTCTTCAAGTATGCCCGGCATCAAAAAGTGCAACTCGGTCACGTCTTTCACGGGCATCATAGCGATGCCACCAACCAGAGAGATACATTTTTGGGGCAAGCTGATGATGTCATCTGCAGCGCCAGCTCTTAAAAGGATCCGATCCGCCTTTTTCTGTGGCTCTGCCTTGATCACGTTTCCAGCAAAAAGCCACAAACTGATAATAAATTCGCAGTTTTGTCGAAGCCATGAATTTGTTTCCAGGAATTCTGTCGAGTGCCAGACAGAAATCACAATAAATATATCTTTTCTGCCTCTGGCTCTGGCCCTGGCCCTGGCCTTAGGATCGAATTCTGTGTGCGGTTTCTCATTCCTTGTGTTTGTCTGAAGATGGAAGATATTTTCTCTCTCTTCACTCTGTTTGTGGATCATTGTTTGTGGAATTCACAAGAATTTATTTGCTTAAATTTGAAAATGAAAACACACTTTGCAGCTGTGAAAATACATTGTCTTACAGAGTGCCCGCCATTATATTGTAGTTAAACATTTTTTAATGCCAGTATTTATCGCCGAAAAGTGTAATTAAAAAATAATAATAATAATAAAATCTACATGATAGACAAATCAGACACTGTATTAGCGGACATGCTTGGGTTCGCTTTCAGATTGACCTTGCCAGGGCTATGACCCATACATTTTTCCATGCATGTGTCTTTATTTTTGTTAGTTTTTAGTTTTTTTTTGTATATGTAGGAGAGTCTGCAAGTACTAGGAACACATACCGACCAAACAATGACGACAACACAAATGAAACAGCAAACTAGACAAAATTTATGAGCAACAGTTGTTGGATTTATATGCATATGTATATGTGTTGATATAAAGGGCGTATATATTTTAGCAGTAGTTTGTCTTGATAAAGTGTGTAGAGAATTAAGAAAAAGATGCAAAAATGTACTAAAAGATATATGTCTCGTTAAGAAGGAAGGAAACACCCCTTAAATATAGGGAACTTACTTTAAGTTATTTATCTGCTTTAGATGGAAAACTCCATGAACTCCAGTGTTTCTGCAGTACAAGTTTTTTGTCAGGTTAAAAGGGTAGGAGACCATATTACAGCACTGCTAATCTACCTACAGGGTATCTGAGCCGCGACTCTTCCCCAGTGTTGACCTTCCATCCCATTCAAGTGCTCGCATTTGTGTATGGTCTTCAACTTGACCTCTCCAACAGAGCATTTAGGCAAGAATGAGACATCTATTTACATATATAATGTGACTTGATAAGCTATCGGGATTTGCATAAACCTCGTGAGGAAGACGTGAAATGAAGGCGTTAAGCCCAACACCTCTTGCTTATGACAGATTCTAAAAAAAGATACACAGATATGAAAACGAGTTGAACTTGTTGTCGGGCAGCTTTTTCTGTGGCTGCAATTTGAGACTTGGTCTTCAAATCGCTTAAGTATCTTATTTTGTGAGTGAGGTGTTCAATTACATGACATGGAAAATGCATCTGAAGTTGCTCAATATTCGGTTCAATGTCGGAATGTCGATACATTCGATACGACGAGATAATGTGCCGAAGATTGATGCTTAAAAGGTTCTCCAAGTCATTCGAAGCGATTGACACAATTCGATGGACAGTCAATAGGAATAGGAATGGCTTTTCGAAATCAATTTCAATATTCCACCTACTGGCCGCATTTCCCTCAAATGTCAGTTTTCATTGCCAGCTGCACAAATATTTGCCATTTCATTTCTAGTTTCATTTCTATTTTCATTTCCATTTGTGGTTCAAGTTCAGCAGGGAGTGGATTCCATCCAATTGCCCCATTGATCAAGTGCATTAAGAGGAACACGTGATTTGCATTTAAATTGTTTTTGGCTTTGACTTTGGCCAACAACTGCAAATACCCGACTCGTACTCGTATCTATCTCCCTGCCAATTCTGCAAATTTGCTGCCCGTTTATTTGCATTGGCGTCTTGCCGGTTCGAGTCTCGATTTGCCTCAGAAACGATTACGATTACCGCAGCCAATCATCGAGTCATGCAATAATGGAACCATACCATGCAAATGACGTCAGCTGTGGCTAGCTGGCTGGCTGGCTGGCTGGCTGGCGCTATTGTGCATACAATTAAAATCAATTTGCAGTAGCGCCAATTGCTGTCGACATATTTTATCTAAGGCGTTTCAAAATCCATTCGAAAGAGAGAACTGGACACTCGCTTAGATGGGTATGTATGCAAACTCAATTAGTCATCACTACTGCAGTGTTTTTTGCGCATGGGCAGCGTTCTTGGGTGGCAATGTTGACAGTTTTCACTGGGGCAATGTGGCCAAATTTCTACAGAAAAACGTTTTAGTTTTTAGTTTTCAGCTAAAGAATGGAACTATATGAGTATATGCACTCTATTTTGTTTCATAGTGTAGCCAACTTTCATGAAAATAAATAATACCAATAATTATTGGATAATTAATAATTATAAACTAAATCTATTGTTATATATTTTAATTTTCAGAAATTCTTTACAAATAAATTATATATTAAAAGGTTTAAGAGTAGAGTACAGTAGACCCCCCCTCCCCCCCCCCCCCCCCCCCCCCCCCCTCTTTTTTTTTTTTCTTTTTTTTTTTTTTTTTCTCCTTTTTTTTTTTTTTTTTTTTTTTTTTTTTTTCCTTCTCCTTTCCTTTTTTTGTCCAGTAGAGTTCAGAAATTACAAAACGTGTCTAATTTTCAGTCTTAATGGTATCAAAGAATATTCAAAAAATGTTCTAAAAATGTTCCAAATATATAAAATAAAGAAAAGTACTCTCCAAACTGCAATGCATCTGAATATCAAATTTTGTATCCCATTTTCCATCTACGTTCGATTTAATGTTTTTTTAACCAAAGTCATAAATAATTTCACCAACTTTAGTAGATTTTATCTCATTTAAGACTAACTGCACTGTCAAATCTTTCGAATTTTAGGCACATTATGTGGCAGCTTTATCTGCAATAATAAAATTAAATAATTTATTTTAATGGTCAGCCATGTTAAATGAGGCTAAGTGATTTTCGTTGTAGACTTCAAGCTTCGAAGCGGGCATGCAAAAAAGTTTTGGTGTTGTTTTGTTGGCGGTCTGTAACAAAATTAGCTAAAATTGCAGCTCAAAGATACAACCAGCACAAAAGACCAGCGGCAAATCGTGATTTAGCCACCGTCATTGTGTATGGTCGGTTGGCCGATTGGGAATGCATCAAAGTAAACGGCTCTGAAGGCGAAAGATGGTATCCGCGCGGCTACGACTGACTGGGGGCACCGCTCCTGAAAGCCGGCACGTACATACATACATATCTGAAGCGCTTAGATAGTTAGATAAATTGTCGTGGGCCCCTTGGCACCTGAGCTGCATAGGACATAGGGGCCCATAGAACGTGGCTTACATTCGTCATAATGCGGAACAGATGCCAGTCTTTGAGCTGCGCCTTGTTGATGATACATATTGCATGATAAAAAATTACTTTCAATGGAGTTTATATCAGATTTATGGGCATTATTAGAGCATATCTCTGCTCCGATCTGAGCGGAGTTTGTCTTTTGTGGAGCAACAGCCACCCACACAAATCATAATTGAAGCACTCCAAACTCTCATAATTGGCGCCGGAGGCCAGAGCCCAAATTGGCAAGAACGGAAATGTCGAAAATTAAATCCCCCCCCTTGCAATTAATCAATTTTCATAATCAAAACGGACTCTGGGGGCTGTGTGTAATGGCGTGGGCCGAACAGACGACTGGCCATGGACAAGCCCCCGGGTATGGCTCGAGCTCTAGAGGGGGTTTGAGGTGTTGCCGGTTTCATTAAACTCAAATTAGCTGTGGATTCATTCTCCTCAAGGCAGCAGATAAATGACAGCGATACATCATGAAAGAGGCGAATGAATGTTTCTGGTGGATCACAAGATCTAAAGAATTCGAATCTCTTTCTTGGAAACCACTCTCGTATGTATTAGCCATTAGCCAGATCTTCAGATCTTCAGATCCTCAGCTAATGTCCGCGTTATCCGAGCAACTCTTGTCCACTATTTTTGGCAGGCAATTAAAAATATAATTTTTCGAAAATACTTTCACAAAAGAGGGCGTGATGCGTGACAATGTCAAAGCCAACTGCCGAGTGAAAATGAGAGCAGGAAAATAATTTGGCAGTGAGCCAAAAAACAGCGACCGATTAAACGAGACCTCATAAAAAATTGAAACTATTGTATGTACAAAAAGCAAAGCTCATGAAAGAAAAAAAGCAAAAGTCAAAATCAAAATGTTGTCCCATAATTTTGAATGCGAATATTTCCTGCCTACCAAAGTAAACAATTATTTAGGAATATATAC